CCTTAAACACGCGCATATGTGTACCCTATTATTGGATATACAATGAAACGTATCCAAGTTTAAATTTGTTTTATTGACAATTTGATGGCACAGGATTATTGCAATATTTCGCAATTTTACAATAAATACAGGATCAGGGAACCTTTCTTTTCTTTAGCTTGCTTTATACTCTTTTATACAAAGATATACTGTGTACTGTATACACCAATTGAAGTTCTGTAGCCATCAATTTCTATTGAGTTATTGCATATATAATATTGTTTTTATAAAAAGAAATTATCTCTCAGATAATTTTCGAGTATTTTACTTATTGTTAGCAAACTTTATTTTAAAAAAGAGGCAGTGCTATTCGTAATATACGAATTAGTAATATACTATTAGTAATATATATGAATTTATATTAAATTATTTTATCCTCAAGGTTTTAAAAAATATTGCAACGATTTTCGAAATTTTCTGAAATGTCATTATTTGAAAATGTATTCCACATTCGTATAGAATTTGCTAAGAACGAAATGCAATTCCCTGTAGCTCTTTCAGCTCTTTAAACTGCATAGCTTGCTAGAGTGTTTAACGATCGGGACATTGGGGTCAAACGCGACATATTGTAGTTACAAAGTCGATATTTTAATCTCCGCGATTCAACTACCACTGTCACACCGCCAGATTGTGTCATATCTCGGATAAAAGATGTGAAGCGAGAATGAGAGGAGGAAAATGAAGGAGAGAAAGGTATAAAGGGTGGAAAACAAGCGGTCAGAATGGAAGAGTAACTCGAAGGCAACTGTAAAAAGGGGATGGGCGATTCAACCGCAACCTACCGAAGGGTATGGCGGATAGATAGTAAGATTTATGACGTGAGAAGAGAAAAGGGAAGTTCTCTCATGTGAGAAAGAGAAAGATACGAGATTACATTCTGGAATAACGTCGAAGTCAAGATCTGATGAAATCTAATATTCAAACAATGTTGTGTGTTTCCAAGAGATTTATCTTATATCAAAACAATGATTTTCACAAGAGCCATTTATCTGGAAATACATAAATTGTAGCTATCTATTGTGCTATCAATTTAATTGTTTCGGGAAGAACCTACCAAATTGTGAATAAAAGGATAAAACCATTTTCATAACATAAAGAAGTCGAGAATACGAGATAAAAAAAAATATGCATGGCATGGAATGGCTCAAAAATTCGCAACAACAATTCCCTTGAGGCAAACAAAAAAGCGAAACAGTTTACTAACAGTTTACGAACAGCGTGACATGACCGCCAAGATAAAAGCAGCGAGAAAAACAATATATAGCCGCGAACAAATACAAACGTGCAAAAACAAACAATAGCAATCGAGTGTATCTGCTGCAGGCAATATCGAATTGCAAAGTACAAGAGAGAGTCATTGAAGATTCGCGCGTAGTAGCTATTTTCACAGAAGTTCGATTGTTAAACCGCGAAAACGTGAATGTTGCGACTATAATGCCAAAGTTTCTTTTGTACGATATTGAAAAAACAACCGCATACATCTATTCCGAAATGTTCACACCCGTGATAGAAATGCTACGAAGCTACGTGCAATCTATAATCGTTCGAAATTGCCATAATTCAAGCTTTAAAATCTCATGAATTATATAACAGGAACGTAAATGCTGACGTATTCCAGCGAAAGATCAAATACTTGACGTGGATAACTTCCAAAACGAAGACAAATAAAACGTATTCTGAGAAAATTTAATAACGCCGGCGAGGTGCTGCGGGAGCAGTTTTACATTGCATTTCCGGGAAAAGATTAAGAGAGATTTCTCAGTTTGTATTAGCATGCTAATGAACGGTTAATTGCGTGATATTCTTCTTCGACTCTTATCGGACAGGCAATGTTACTAGGGTAAAGGGAAAGATTTATTTTCACATAATCCTTCCCGATGTATAAGTCTAGATCTAGAACGAACCGATAAGAGAAAAAGCAAATAGTACGTCCCTAACATCGAGATATGGTAATCGGTGTCGTAAATCTATACAAAAAATTTTGTTTATACGAGAAATTTAAAAGTGTATACGATATGCATCATCAACATTCGTTACTTTCTTAGCGCAAATAAAAATATTGATTTTTGTCGTTAAATATATGGGAAAATATATATTTAAATTATAGTTTTCGGTAAAGCAATTCAAGCTTTGCAATCAATGATAAAACTGATAACCATAATTAATTAAATTAATAATTATAACTAGAATAAATTAATTCCGATAATTAAATAGATAAATTTTGAAGACTGTTAATGTGTTAATGCACAGTGTTGAGAGAATGGTACGACGTAAACAAGCCTTACATCAATTAGTCGGAACAATCGAGTAGTCACTGGACTAAATGATTTACTAATTGCTTTAACGATTGTCCAATTGCAATTACTCTCACCCGACAGCTGATGCTATGGTGTTACATGTATTTATAATCGGAATAGTCCTCTGAAATTCTGACGAGAACGGCAATAAGAAACATCACTTATTGTTAAATCTATTTCACCTCGTAAGATTTTTTTCCAAACTTCTATGTTTCATTCTACATTTCCTTGGCAAGACGGCACTTTTTCTTCTGACATTCGTCGGAAGCGGAACCACTTCGATAATTTCCACCGAGGAAAGTGACAAATATCTGCCTATCTGTCGTGTTAACTTTGTGCCGCACTGCGAAAATATTCTTCTTCATTTTAGTTCGCGTTATCGCGTTACATGTATAGGCATAAAGATACAGTGTGGTTATATTCCTGACATACCGTAAGATGATTCTTCGATATTGTACCGATTTTTCTACGAAATATGTATGAAATATGTACATATGTTTTATGAAATTTACAAATTAAAAAAATTAATATAGAGATTATACATTTTTTATATCTTTATATATTATAAAACTGTTTATATATACTTTA